TGAGCAGACAAGTCAGATCAGAATCAGAAATACTACTATTAGAATACTATATAATATAAAATACTATTACAATATCTAAAACAATATACAGAATAGAAATGTATGTATAGGTAACATATATATGAGTAAAAGTAAAGATCAAAATAAAAAAGAGCCTATATAGAAAATAAATGTAAATGTAAGCATCTTCCACAGTGACAGAAATTAAATAGCCATGAGATTAAGATTTAAAATCAAATAGAGCAGGTCTAGACCGTACTCATTATAAAATTAATTACAGAGAACAAACAGTTCCCACCATGAGCAAGCACTTTCTCAAGAGTTTAGGAGGAGTTGATGGCCACAGGCAGGAATGACTTCTTGTGCCGCTCTGTGGTGCATCTCAGCGGAATGAGTCTTGCACTGAAAGTACTCCTGTGTTTGACCAGTTCATTGTGGAGTGGGTGGGAGACAGTTCCCTGCAGGGCCCCGGTGTTGCTAACCACTCTATTTGACACACAGTGTCACAGGCGCACATACTGTGGTCTGCCAGTCAGGTAGTTAACAATCCAGGACACGAGGGGAGCATGTACCTCCTCTTTTCACCCAGCAGAGCTGGTCGTATGCTGTTGAAAGCACTGGAGAAGTCAAAAAACAGTGCTCGCCCGTTTGTCCAGGTGGGTGTAGATGTGATTGAGCAGGAAGATGATGGCATCATGACAGAGGAGGGGGGGAAGTGGTCTCACAGGAGGATGGAGATGGGGGTCTGAGAGGAAGAGGGGGAGGGAGAGGCAGTGGAGCAGGAGGTGTTTTTGGGACAGACAAAATCATTAATTGAGTGTATTGTTAAATCCCTGAATAAAAGTTATTTTGACAAAAGTGGTCCGGACTGAACTGTAGGACAGTTTCTTGGAAAAATCTTATGAACATCAGCATTTTGTACAAGGACAAACCGTATGAATCTGCCACTGAGATTTATTCACATCACTAATTATTTTTTAATAGTCACATTAATAATGTAATATGAGTGCTTTTAGAGCTTTTAGAGCTTTTAGAGTCTTTGCTACTCGCATGCTCAGCTTGACAGTCTGCACTTCTGCTTTGTGCTTTTAGTTAAATTCTCCTCATGCAAATGTTGGTGGCGTGTTTCCAAAAAGCTAGCAAACATTATTATTAGCAGCAACTGAATGAACTGTTAATTACTCATGATTATGATGGGATATTGTATGCCTTTTTATAGTGACAGTGGAGGAAATAAGGACAGAGAATGACAAAGGTCAACAAGGGTCACAAACCTTTGTAATTCATGGTTGGTGTACAAACCCTAAGGCCACCATGCCTGCCCGGGTTTGACATTTAATTGATTCAATCGACAAAATTGAGCTTATTATTTGAATTCTTCCACGTAAAGTGGAGTCAGCTCCACTTGTTGTGGCACAATGCAAATAACGTTCAATCATTTTCAAAGCAAATTGGGGATGAGAGAGAGAGAGAGACCACATCATGCATAGAGGGAGGGAGAGCCAGGTATCAAAATATGGCAAACCTTCCTTAGGTGACTACAGCAAACACACCAAACACCACGGTGCAGGAAGAAAAAAGGGTGGACCCTTACGCAGAAAAGGAATATAAATAATTAAGTAAAAGTAAGTCTGAATGAATTATACTGGTGCTCATAGTTTCTGTAAAATGAAGGATTTAAGAATCTAGCCGATCTAAAAATGCGTAGCTTGACCATATTGGCAGAAGTTTAAACATTGATATTTGTGTAGGCGATCTAATCAGCTTAGAACCTGCTCAAGCGGGCGTCCTGGTGGATTTTAAAAGGTTTTTATACATACTGTAGATTTACAGTAATTCTCCATTTATCTTCACTTAGTCAAACTGGGAGAAACCTGGTTGTAACATACAGTAGAGACAGTTGGACCAGCTTGATAACAATTAAGTATTGATAGGTTACATGTTCTGTGGCACATCAGTGTATATAGGAGTCAGTCAATCATGCTCTTATATTTCTCTCACAGCGTAACGATTGAACGGTAAGAAGAAGCAGCACAATCATTGCCATGGAGGGGAAGACTTTGATTTTTGTGGTCTTATCAGGTTGGTTTAATGTTGTATTTCTTTGACACACTTTATAAGAAGAGAAAGTAAGGTACAAATCAGTAGCTCACTGTTAATTAGCTCTATTTAACAAGTTATGTTATATAACTACTGCTGATAGTTAAACCTACTGCAAGGAGTTTTTAACTGGTTATGTAACAGTCTCAATTTAATCCTCTATATGACCTAAACACAAAAGACCATCAGTGAGAAGATCATTTCTATATAGTTATTCTTGATCCAGAGATGCAGATGAGGCAGATGAGATCAGAGAGTGGGTAATGGTCCGGGCTCCAGTGCTTCTGGGTCTGGTGTTGAGACAGGGAAAAAACAAGTTAGCAACAGGAAATTTTCTTAAATAGCAAAAGTTTCTGGTCTGGCTGGCGTGATTTCATAACTAGAATGATTTCAACAATCGGCGGGGACTGGAAGGTCGAGCCTGGCTTATGAAGGGTGAGGTTGGAACGGTGATGAGGAACAGAGTGCTGAGTTAGTGATGAACCACCAGTGGTGTAAGCAGGACTCCAGTGGCCACGCCCACCAGTGGCATGAAGAGGCCCAGGGCCTGTGACCAGCCTTAGAATAGAAGTAACAGAAAAATAAGTTGAGAGTAGAACAAGTAAAAATTGGACACCCCCTGATGGTTCTTTTTTCTTAATTTTTTTCGCCATTTATTTCATTAAATAATAATAAATACATAATTTCATAGTATTGTTAAATCACTACACTGCTATTGCACATTCAGGCGTAGATATACAATAGCTGGTAAGATACACATTAATATTTTGTTAAAAGTCTGCTAACTGATTTCATTCCATATACTTCTACGGTAAGAGTCCTTAAGGTTCAAGTGCACCTTCCTGAAAAACCCTTCTTAATCTGAGAACAAAGT